GGGGGGGGGGGTGCGTGCGCATTGTATTATGCGTACAGGCACGCACATACGTGTACGCTTTCGGCACACGGCGACAAAAAGGTTAGCCGTCGCTGCCCTAGGATGAAGAGGGCTGGCGTCCCTCTTGAACTCTCTCTCCCTTGTTCTACCTCTATCCTGCTCTGCCCAGCCGGCCTTTGCCGTTCCCGGCCAACACTCTCCCGCTCCCCTCAGATTCAGACTCCGACAGGGCCATGACACACGGTCTGGAGAAGGTCCAGTGGGGTCTCTGGTCATGTAAACCAGGTTGTGGGGGGGGGGTCCTCTCCAGAAGCAGCCACGCCGATCCAAGGGGGGGCCCCACCGTGCAGAATTTGAACCCCAGGCAGGGGTGGGCTTCAAAAATGTTAGCAAATTATTTAGCAAAGATAAAATTTGAAGCCTGAAATATTTTTTTTATTAGGAAGGCTATCGTAAAGAAAAAAAATATACTTAATTATAACGTGTTACCAGCAGCTAGAATTGTATTTGCTCAAAATTGGGAAAGTGATAAAATACCGACAGAGGGAAAAAAATAACTGAGAAAGTATTTGAATGTGCAGAAATGAATAGATTAACGTTAGAAATTAAAGAAAAAAGGAGAATCTGAATATTACATGGAATGGGCCTTGTTTATCAATGGCTAGAAAGTAAAACAAAATTAAAGTGGACTAGATGTAATTATAAAGCATTAAGAGAAATTAGTGTAGTAGATATACTGAATATTACTTATATTATACACATGGGAATGTGGTTATTATATGGTTATACCGTTAGGAAGAATATTATTAGTAATTGTTAACCACATGAAATATGTAGCTAATTGACCCACAATTGAAATGGAATGGATTTATTGTATGTTAAAAATAAAATAAATAAATAAATAAATGATAAAATTAGCAACCAGTTTGCTTGAACCAGTGTGAACCTGTGGCAGGCCACTCCTGAACCCAGGACTACTGTGGGAACCTCCCATGTAGCTAGAAACATAGAAGGTGGAATTCCCAATCTAAGAAAAGAGTGTTTCTACAGCTAGTCCTTGACTTACGACAGTTCATTTAGTGGCCATTCGACATTGGCACAGAAAAAAGTGACTTACGGCCGTTTTTCACCCCGATGACCATTGCAACAATTTCCCCTGGTCCCTGGATCAAAATCCAGATGTTTGGCAATGGACTCGTATTTATGACGGTCGCATCCCGTGATCCTCTTTTGCGACCTTCTGACAAGCCGAGTCCATCGGGAAGCCAGATTCGCTTAGCAACCACATGTCTCACTTAACAACGGCAGCTATTCACTTAACCATGCTGGCAAGAAAGGTCCTAAAACAGAGCAAGGCTGACTTCACGTCTCTCTTAGCCATGGAAACGTTGGGCTCCGTTGTTCGTCGTAAGTCGAGGACTACGTGTGTGTGTGTGTTTTGGGTGCTGTTTTGCGTTCCTTTTTTAATTTTTTTTTTAATCGTTGGGATTTTGTGTTTTAACTTTTTTCAAAAAAAATTTATTTTTTTATTTATTCATCCCAGCAGTATATGGAAGTCCTGCAGGGAATTTCTAGCCGCAGGGGGCCGAGCAAGTGCCAGGCCTATGGGATTTGTAGTCCTCTCTCTTTGAGACGGACACGGCTGGACGGTCCTCGGTTTTGACCCTTCCTTCCTGCCTCTTTCTCCGACAGTGGCTTCTTTTATTCGGTTTTCCTGGGCCACGGAGGCCACGAACTCAGCGTACTGACCCTCCCCAGTTCCATCGAGCCGGTGGGCTTCCAAGCCCTCCTGGATTTCATGTACACCTCCCGCCTCCTGCTCAGCCCAGGCACGGCGCCCGCGGTGCTGGTCGCCGCCTCTTATTTGCAGATGGAACATGTAGTCCAAAGTTGTCACCGTTTCCTCCAGGCCAGGTACCCTGGGGAGAGAGGATTTAAGGGGGTGGGGGAAGGGGATCAACAAAAGTCCAAGGGGAGAGGGAAGGAGGTTCTCTTGAATTGGGGAAGGGGAGAGGAACATCTGGAATAGGACAGGAGAGGTTTTTTTTAAAAAAAGAGAACAAAAAGCCATTCTTGGCTTTCAAAAAAGAAAGAAAAAGAAAGTTCTTTTCTTGGGGAATTTAAGTGGCTTCTGGGAATAGAAGCTGGGTTGTCTCCGATCTGGAGCCCTCAGGAGGCGTGGAGACTACAATTCCCAGCGTTCCCAGCACACATTGGGTTCCTGGTAAGGGATTCGACCAGTTGGTCTCAAATTGGGCCACTTTAAGAGGGGTGGGCTTCAACTCCCAGAATTCCCCAGCTAGTCTGGTTTAAGATGGGTGGGCTTCAACTCCCAGAATTCCCCAGCTAGTCTGGTTTAAGAGGGGTGGGCTTCAACTCCCAGAATTCCCCAGCTAGTCTGCTTTAAGAGGGGTGGGCTTCCAGTCCCAGAATTCCCCAGCTAGT